TTTATTGTACTTTGTTAGTGCCTTTTCCTGTGGGTAGCATTTACATTTAGGAGGGGACCTTCCACTTGGGAATCTTAGTTTACATTAACAGAATGAAAGATTCTAAAGGTACAAATACTACAGAAGTGTTGTTTCTGTTGACTTTGTGAGAAGAAATCTGGGCTTAATTCCAGCGATAGGCATCTTTATTTATTTATTTTCGTACTTTGCCAGAGGACATGCATACACATCAGAGGGAGATGGAGAGAGAGAAGGAGGGGGAGCACAGCCCAGTGTAGTCACAACACTTCAACCTTTTTTCCTCCATTTCTCTACCCTGTTGGACTAGAGAAGCATAAAGAAGTTAAATAACTTGCCCTTGGTTACACTAGTAAATTGCAGAACCCAAGTTTGAACCCGAACAGCAGTCTTATTCTTAGTCACTGTGCTATACTACCCTTTTACTGCTATTTTGAATCTTTACTATTTTATTGTCTTTCTTTCTCTTCCCAGGAGAGTAAAGCAAGTAATATCTTTTTTGGACCTTCAGTCTCCTTTTCACTTGCTTTTTCCATTCACCATATAAACATGATCTGTTGGGTTTTTTTTAAAGAATTATTTTATTTAACTTTCTTTGCTCATTTTAATATTATCAGAGAGGGTTAGCATGAAAGAGAGAGAGAGAGAGAGAGAGAGAGAAGGAAAGTGAGAAAGCAAGCTACCAGGTCCAGGACTCAAACCACAGTCAGTCATGTGGGAGTCTAGCACCCTTAACCACCATGCCACCCGCTGGCCCCAGATCTGTTGTTGTTATTGAAAGTATCTATCACTCTTTTCAACAAGCTTTACTATTAGGAGAGGTTTTTAAAGGTTTATTAATAATTAATGATGATAAATAGCTAACAGTGATTTATTTACCCTGTTTAAATTGCAAGTACTGACTATAATCTCTAATCCTTTTAACAATCCAACAAATATTTTACAGATGAAGAATGGGAGCTTAGAGGGTGATATAACTTGATTTGCTTATCAGTAGTAGAGCTGAACTCAGACTCATATTTGTCTTAATCAAGGCCCATTCAGTTTCTAGCATGACGTCCTAGTTGATCAAGTTCCTATAGGCTTCCCTTGTTCCTCTGCCTATTCTTCATTGCCCTATGGCTCTACTTTTAATAGAAGAGATTTTTTTTTTTAACAGAGGTTTTTTGTCCTCTCAAATGAGAACACATTCATTTGCTAGAGAGAAATAGAGACAGAGTGAAAGTGAAAAATCACCCCCCAAGGGCCTGGCCATGCTGCAGCCCCTTCTCCATTCTCCTCCTGGGATCTTGGGCACGCACACATGTGCCCTGTGTGATTTTCAAGCCACTGGGTCTGAGACTTGAACTACAGTTGGCCATGTGGGAGTCCAGTGATGTAACCACTATGCCATCTGCTGGCCCCTATAGAAGAGCATTTTAAAGAGAATATGTAATATGTATAGACTCTTCTTGCCTTTCATTTACTTCTCAAACCTTTCTACTTTAACTTCCACTTATGTTTCAGTAAGGGTCCTCCAGAAAAACAGAACCAATAGGAGATGTATATTTATATGTCATATAAACATGAGAAAGATTTATTTTAAGAATTGGCTTATGCAGTTGTGGGGGTTATCAAATCTGCAGCCTACAGGGCAGTCTAGAAATTTAGTAAGATTTCCATGTTATAGACTCGAGGTAGAATTTCTTCTCTAGGAAACTTTAAATTTTCCTGTGAAGACTGTCAACTGGACGAGACCTACCCAGGTTATCATGGCTGATCACCTTTATAGTTGATTGATCCTAAATGTTAACCATATCTACAAAATACCTTCACAGAAACATTTAGATTAGTGTTTGGCCAAACAGCTAGGTAACTGTAATCCAGCCAAGTTGACTTAAAACCATCAAACCTTTATCAAACCTCTATCACTCTACCACGTCTTCATTGCTAAATCCAGTGGACACTTCTCATCTTTCTTTACTTGATCACCTTGTAACACCAGGCACTTGGACCATTCATTCCTTGTTGAAACCCTCCTCCCTTAGTTTCAGTGACACTCATCTCTCTCCATTCTCTTGTCTTTCAGGCTTTTCCTTTTCTGACATTTCAAGAAATTACTCATCTTCTCCCAATTCTTTAGTTATTGGCATTCTGTAGTATGCTTAGTCCTCTTATTACTCTAATCATTAATGTCACTCAAATCTAAAATTCCATCTTAGAATTTTCTCCTGAGTTTCTGACCTGTGTATCTAGTTGCCTGTTGGACTTCTTTCCCTAGACATTGCAAAGACATATCAAACATTGCTTGTCTAACACTGAAATCCTGGTCTTCTCTCAAGCGTGCTTTTGCATTTCTTCTATTCTCTATATTAGTACTTGGTACCATCTCCATCCATTTTCCCAGACTAGGAACCAGAGAGGAATCCTCAACTCCTCCTTAAATTTGCCATTAAAAACCTTATCATCTTGGGGCCAGGTGCTGTGGTGGTTAAGGCACTGGACTCCCACATGTAACCACAGTTCAAGCCTCAGATCCGGTGGCTTCAAAATCATGCTGGGTACCTACGCATGCATGTGTGCATGCCCAAAACCCCTCAAGGGTTTAGAGAATAGAGATGAAGGGATTGTGGCCTGGCCATCCTTCCGGGGGGTGGGTGATTTTACTTTCTCTCTTTGTCTTTCTCTCCATGAGGGCATGCACCCTATGGCAAAAACCTTTTTAAAATAAAAAAGACCTGCTCATATCCATACCTATTTCAGCCAAGATAGAATCTTGTAGCCTTCCTGCTTCCTGCCAGTCTGTTTACTGCCCTCTACATTGCTGCCAAAATGGTGTTTTAAAAATGGAAGTCTGTTTGTGCTTAAATTCTCCCCAGTAGCTTCCTGTTGCCCACAGAATTAAGATCCAGTTCCAGGACCAGCAGGTAGCATAATAGCTATATGGCTGGATTCCCATGTAGTTGACCACAGTTCAAGTCCCAGACCTGGTGGCTTAAAATTCACATGAGAATCATATGAGAATAAGTTGATGTATGAGTTCTCCTGTGATGGTATGTAGTAGTAATTTAACAGAATCCTTCCTTCTTAACTGTGTGTTCTTAACACACTTAACATGTGTGCTTGTGTGCCCAGGATCCTAAGAGGAGACTGGAGGAGAAGGGATTGTGGCATGCCCATCCCCCTGGGGGCGGGGGTGATTTCTTGTTTTCTGTCTCTCTGGCAAGCACATGTGCCCTGTAACAAAAATCTCTCTCTAAAAAAAAAAAGGAAGAAAAGAAAAAGATCCAGTTTCTTATCCTAGACCTTTCCTACTCTTTATCTCTCATCCTGCTTTCAAGTCATACTGAAATATTTACAGGACCCCAGATTCACCATGTTGTTTGTCTATGTGTCCTGTACTGCTTTTCTTCTGCCTGGCATGTCCACCAACTCACTTTCCTATCCCCAACTAAGACATCAAGAAGGATTATTTCCGGACCCAGTTCAGTCTGCTCTTTTGTATAACCTTCCCTGACTCCACAAAGGAGTTTGACTGTGCCTTCTTTCTGGCATCTTTGTACCTTGTTTTCATCTCTAGCACTTACTACTGTATTACTTATTTTTGTTTATTTAGAGTCATCGTCCAGTGGACTGTGAGCTCTTCAGTTTGGCTGGCATCTTAATAGGATTTCATCAAATGTGTGATGACAGTAGAGATAATGAAGCCAGAGTAGATCAGAGCAGTTCATTTAAACAAGGCCATGCATCTCACGTCAAAGATGCCTGGGCCTGGGCCTGGGCCTCGGCATGTGCAGAGGAGAATGGGAGACAGTTCTGTCATTCTCCCTTGTCCCTTCTAGAGCTTGCTGCTCCAACCTTAGTATCAGATTTCTTTTGATCTATACTTTTTATGATAATCTGATACCTCTTCTCAGCTGTCACTGTGCTTTTGTTTTATTTTGCTTGTATCCTTGGAGCAGTTAACAAGGAAGGATTCTGTTAAATTATTATTACATACCATCACAGGAGAACTCATACATCAGCTTATTCTCATATGAGAACCATGCCAAAAGAATTTTTTTTAGCCAGTGAAAAGAAAATTCATGTTATAAGAAAGTTATTTTTTCAATGGTTTTTTAATCCTCCTATGTCCCCAATATGTCTTCATGCATTTAATGTCAAATTAAAACTAAACCAGCTCTGTGTTAATCCTGAGAGAAGAAATAATGGGCTTTAAAGATTGTCGGTAGGATAGCGAAGACTTCTTACATTTTTTTAGAGAGAGATTTTTGCCATAGGGCGTGAGTGCTCGCCAGAGAGACAGAAAGCAAAAAATCACTCCCCGGGGGGATAGCTATGCCACAGTCCCTTCTCCTCTGTTTCTCCATTCTCCTGTCAGGATCTTGGGCAAGCACACACACACACCTGATGTGACTTTCAAGCCTCTGAGTCTGGGACACGAACCATGGTCGTCCATATGGGAGTCCAGCAATGTAACCATTATGCCATCTGCTGGTCCCAGACTTCTTGCATTTTTAACATGAAAAGAGGATATTAGAATGGCCAGCATCTCAATTTAGACTTCCCTGTTACTTTTTACTGTAAACATACTTATAGAAGCTACTTGTGGTGTAACTCCTTATGTATTTAGTATTTATCTGACTCTTAGTTTTCTTGATTGATTTTTTAAGTGGGTGAAGAATAGTTATAAATTCTTTGCCCTTTATGGAATGTGATATCTTGGTTTTTATTCCATCTGTCCCTTCTCCTTTACTTAATTTTCTCTTATTGTTTTGCATTGTGTTTATGAAATAATGGCTTTGGCTTGTTTTTTCCTGAATGTTTCTGCAGTTTGGTTTGAGTGTCTGGCTTTGGGCACCCCTCCTGAACTTGGACTCCATCTGTAATTGTGACTTTTGGAAGGCAGAAGTCAGTGTTTTCTGTGAAAGATGAGTTTTTTATTTTATATATATAATATATGTGTGTTTCTCTCCCCCATCCTCTTTTGGTTCTCTTAAAAGACTGGAAAGAAAGCAGTTAAGGCAGTCCTGTGGGTATCGGCAGACGGACTCAGAGTTGTGGATGAAAAAACTAAGGTAAGATTTTTATAAGCTTAACAGTGACTGTTTTTTTTTTTTTTTTTTTTAATTCTAATGATCAAATATTATGCCATTAAGCTGTTGTAGTCACTCTATCTTTTTACTTTGTCCAAAGTACAGTCTTCTGAGAGACTATTTAACATTCAGGAAACCAATTTAGCTACTCATTTACTTTATGAAAATAGAATCATCTCAACATTTTGTTCTACATGGCATAGCATGTTTAATGTACTAAGCATTAGCATTTAATGTTAGGTGGTAAGTTCTCATTCTGTCATTACATTTTTTAAATTTTTATTTATTATTATTTTAATTTGCTGTAGGACACATGTGCTCAGCAGAGAAAGAGAGAAAAAGAGAGAGGGAAAGTAAGAAAGTAAGCCACCAGTCTGGGATGCAAACCACAGTTGGCCATGTAAGAGTCCAGTATCTTAACCACCATACCACCTGCTAGTCCCACTTTTTTATTTTTTCCCTAGAGAGAGTTTTTTGTTTTTTGTTTTGTTTTGTTTTGTTTTTTTGTTTGTTTTTTTTGTGTTTTTTTTTTTTTTTTTTTTTTTTTGCTTTAGGGCACGTGTGCTTGCTGCAGAGAAAGAAACAGAAAGCACAGAATCACTTTCCGGGAGCATGGCCACTCTGCAATCCCTTCTCCTCCAGTCTCCTTGCGGGATCTTGGGCACACATGCACACATGCCCTGTGTGAGTTTTAAGCTACTGGGTCTGGAATTTGAATGGTGGTTGACTATGTGGGAGTCCAGTGACGCGACCATTATGCAATCTGCTGGTTCCTGTCACTGCATTTAAAATATATTTTTCTTTTTTTTTTTTGAGAGGTTTTTGCTATAGGGCGCGTGCGCTCACCAGACAGACAGAGAGAGACAGAAAGACAGAAAGCAAGAAATCACCCCCCAGAGGGGATGGCCACACCACAATCCCTTCTCCTCCATTTTCCTCTCGGAATCTTGGACGCGTGCGCACACGCGCCCGGCGTGAGTTTAAGCCACCAGGTCCGGGACCTGAACCACGGTCGACTACGTGGGAGTCCAGCGACATAGCCATTACGCTAACTGCTGGTCCCGCATTTAAAATAATTTTTTTAATCATTATTATTATTATTTGCTAGAAGATGCATGTGCTGGCTGAGAAAGAGAGGGAAAGAAAGCACCCTTACAGGGGAATGGCCATATTGCGTCTTGTCTCCTCTATTCTTCTTTTGAGATTTTGGGCCCATAGACATACCTACCATGTTTCTCAAGCCACCAAGTCTGGAACTCAAACAGCATAGTCAGCCATGTGGGATCCAGCCACCTTAACCACCATGCTACCAGCTGGCCCTGTTCTTATATATTTTAAAAAAAAATTCCCCCACAAATTTGATGTAAATTATGATGGATCTTATTCCATAATATAAAAAATTTTTTTAAATGATGGGTGACATCTGAAAGAAATTTCTTTTTGTTCCTTAAGAAAACACTATTTTGTAATGGGACAAAGAAACGTGCCAATTTCTGTTAAAGATATTTTGTAGTTTAGTCAACTGGACTAGGGATAAATGTTCACATGTTGAAATACTCACTTTGTGGGACCAACAGTTAGCATAATGACTATCTCACTGGACTCCCATGTAGTCGACCACAGTTTGAGTCCTGGACCCAGTAGCTTAAACTCACACCGGGCACATGTGCGTGTGTGCCCAAGATCCCGAGAGGAGAATGGAGGAGGAGGGATTGGGGCGTGGCCATTCCTGCCCGGGGGGGGTGATTTCTCGCTTTCTGTTTCTCTGTCTCTCTCTGTCTTTCTGGTGAGCGCACGCACCCTATAGCGAAAACCTCTCCAAAAGAAAAAAAAAAACAAACTCACTTTGTAAGCGAAATAATGTGATTGACTGTATAAAAGAAAATTAAATTTAAAATAAAAATTAAAAAAAGAAAACACTATTTTGGAGAGCCAGCAAGTGGAATGATGGCTCTGGACTCCCACATGGGCAACTGTGATTTGAGTCCCTGACCTAGTGGCTTGCTTTCTCATTTTTTCTCTCTCGCTCTCTCTCTCTCTCTGCTTCTGTCTGATCAAGTTAAAATAATATGAATGATAAATAATATTAAATAATTCTTTAACAAAAAACACTATTTGAGGCCAGCAAGTGGTTTAGTGGTTAAGGTGCTGCTGAACTCCCACATGGCTGTCCATGGTTTGAGTTCCAGACCTGGCAGCTTGAAACTTGTGCTGGGCATGTGTGCATGAGTGCCCAAAATTCCAAGAGGAGAATAGAGGAGAAAGGATTGCAGGATGACCAACCCCCGACATGGGGGGGGCGATTTCTCATTTTCTCTCTCTTCGTCTCTTTCTATCTCTCCAGCAAGTGCACACATCCTATAGCAAAAATCTCTTCAAAAAAAAAAGAGAACACTGTTTTTAAAAAGTAGTGTTTCAACTACTTAACTGGATATTTAACTGAAAATCTAATTTAAATGAACTCTGAATAACTAGTAAATGGATTTTTGGTTAATCTTTACATAAAATCCAAACAATATCTCAAATCATAGGTTACATTTGCATTTGAGAAAAAGGGATCCTAAAGGCCTAAATAAGCATAAAGACACATGAGGCATGATGGTTAAGGGAACCAGATCCCACGTGACCCACTGTGTGGTTCAAATCCTGGCCCTGGTGGCTTGAAACATGCTAGGAATATGTGTATGCATGCCCAGAATCCCAAAATGATGGAGGAAAACAGATTGTGGCATGACCACATGCCACTGGAGTGTGCTTTCTCCCTCTTCCTCTCTTTCTGATGAGTACACACACCTCTGGCAAAAAAAAAAAAAAAAGAATAGAGTCACAGACTCTGGCCCTGGGGAGCCAGAGTATTATATAAGTGCATTTAATCATTAATTAAAATATTCCAAAAGACCTAAAGCCAGGAAAAAAATTAGTCAGAAAATTTTTCAAAAAATTTGAATGTCAGTGGAAGAAGAAAAAGTATGGTGGTAAAGAACAGATTTGTTTAGTTTTGTTTTTATGACAGAGAGTGGTAATTTTTAAAAATTATTTTATTTAACTTTATTTATTCATCATTTATTTTCATTTGACCCTAGGGGAGACATAAAGAGAGAGAGAGTGAGAAAGCAAGCCACCAAGTCTGGGACTCAAACCATGGTTGGCCAGGTGGGAGTGTCCAGCCCCTTAACCACCATGCCACCTGCTGGTTCCTGAGAGAGTGGTAGTTTTTGAAAGTCTCACCATGTTGCAACCCTGTGCCCCAGCCTCCCAGTTAACTAGGTTCACAGGCAAATGCTACTGCTCCACCTGTTCAGGTTGGTCTGGGAGCCAAGACTGCACCTCCCCTGAGCCCAGGCTTATGCTGTAGCACTCTCTTGTACCACTGTGTCTCAACTAACAACAATTGTACTTATTTATTTATAGAGGTTTTTGTCTTAGGGTGCATGTGCTCACCAGAGAGAGATACAGTGAGAGGGAAAAATGAGAAATCATCCCCTGGGGGGATAACCAAGCCACGGTCCCTGGTCCTTCATATCCTCCTGGGATCTTGGGCATGCTTGCACATGTGCCCAGCGTGTTTCAAGCCACCAGGTCTGGAACTTTGAACCATAGCCATATGGGAGTACAACAATGTAACTGCTATGCCATCTGCTGGCTCTACCAAGAATAGTCTTTTTTTTTTTTTAATTTTTTCATTTAACTTTATTAATTTTTTTTTTTTATTTGACTGGGATCAGGGAGTGAGAAAGCAAACCACTGGGTCCAGGACTCGAACCGTGGTTGACCATGTGGGAATCTAGTGCCTTTAACCACCACACCACCTGCCAGCCCCCAAGATAGATTTTAAGTGATTTAATGTAACTGCATTTTAGTCCTTTCTTTTATGAGAAGCAATAGTCTTAAATTTTAGTGCATTATTGTTGGAAACAACATGTATTTTACTTAGCGCATTTTAAAAAACCTATGTAGTGTTTGTTAGTGTTTTGGATGAATTTGTTATTCTTGAAGCTATGTATTTAACTGTGTTATACGGCAGACCTTAATAAAGTTCATAGAAAATGTGTATTTTGAAAGAAATGCAGTTTAAAAAAATTGTTGCATTGACACTCAAACCTTAATTCCGTTGTTTTTTTGGGGGAAGAGGTTTTTGCTATAGGGCGCATGCACTCACCAGAAAGACAGAGACCATAAGCAAGAAATCATCCCCCGGGGGGTGGCCACACACAGTCCCTTCTCCATTCTCCTCTCTAGGACTCGAACCACAGTCAACTACATGGGAGTCCAGCGACATAGCCATTACACCAACTGCTGGTCCCTCTTAATTCCATTTTACACACTTACTGAAGACCCCATATATTTACAATAGATGAAAAATGATGTTGCCCCCTAGTGGCAACTTTCATCATTGTTATTCATTAATTTCGTTCTTTGAGTGACAACTGGTGGCTTGTCACCACTGGACTCATCTTCCCACCTTTATATTTAGCAAATAAGCAGGAGCTGATACAGTATTGGGATCAGTGTTTGTGATAAGGCCATGTCATGTCCTTCTGTATACATTTGTCATGAAACAGAAGCCAAAATTTGAGTCCCTTACCTTTGAGCAGGAGCAATGACAAATTGCCTTGCTTTCTCATCTCCCCAACCATGTCTGTCATGGTTCTGATCGTGTTTCTGTGTAAGAATATAGTAATTCTTGGATAGTTTTATAGAAACAGGGGTAAATTAGTTGACTTGTGGATGGAAAGTCTGATTGAATTAAGGATTTAAGTATCGGTGGAAAATGAAATGTATGTTTTTAAAATTATTTTCTTTTTAATAATAATGTTTTTGAAAGTATCTTCAATATGTTTCACTTCTAGCAATAGCTGAATAAAGCTCCTACTGGGCTGACCCTCCTACAAACAATAATAAACTGAACAAAACCTGATTATTTGAAGGCACTAGAGAATAACCTAAAGCAGGCAGATTCGGGAGGAAGGTGACATGTGGAAGAAGGAAATGGCACTTGATGATTTCCCATTTCATACCTTCTAACCCAAGGACAGGCCAGTCTCTACTATATAGGGTAACTAAAACTCCCAATAGTTAAAATCTAAACTCTTAGTATTTCTGGTTTAAAAAAAAAAAAAACAGAAGACAGAATTTGAGGCAAAAACAGCTACTAGAATGTGAAAGGAGAGTCCTGGAAACGAGAGCGCTAAAGGAGGGAAGGCTCTAAGTCTGTAAATTCTGCCCAAATCTGTGACCCCCTTAACAGGCAAATGGAAGGCAAATTCCACATAGCCTAGATAAGGGCATAAAAACTGAATCTAAGTTGCTGTCCAAAAGATAGTTTTCCAGTTGAGTATAACCAAATTAATTACTTATTAAAGCCAAAAGTATGGGCTGACCCCATTGTCTATTGGGGAGTTGGATCCTACATAGTTGACCTCATGGATTGAGTCCCAGACCTGGAAACTTGAGAAACACGCCAGGCACATGCATGTGCATGCCCAGAATCCTGACAGCATGGAGAAGGGATTGTGGCGTGACCATGCGCCACTGAGGGGTGCTTTCTCCCTCTCCTTCTTTCTTTCTCTCCTGCTCTCTCTCTTTCTCTCTGGTGAGTGCATGCAACGTCTGGCAAATTGAAAGAAAAAGACAAAAAAAAAAAAGCAGTTCCCAGAAATGTGATAGGATAGACTCTTCAGTGCATAACATTCATAATGTGTACAATTCTGTGCAGAATTACTCAGCATACACAATAACCGAAAGTGTGACTTACTCTCATCAGAACTACCAATCCATAGAGACCAAGCATCAAGATGACCCAGATGTTAGGAATAATATACCAGTCTTTTTTAAAATATAGTATTGGAAATAAGAAATTCACTAGATGAAGGTATATTGTTACCTTTTAAAAGGCAAGTTGCGACAGTGTATATATATATATATATATATATAGTGCTAATTTATTTAACAAAAGTTGTAGAAACAGGACTAACTTACATATCTGCCTGTATTTGCAAATAAACCAGAAAGAGTGAATATATAAATTTTTATATATTGTCAAATTGAACAAGAAATGTAAAAGAGAGCTGAAACTATAACCCACAGGCATGTTTTAGAACATGTGTTGGGTTGTTGGAAAAATCATGACTCGTTTTTGCATAGAAGACACATCGTGACTTTTGGGACGACCCAGTAGATGAAGTGAGGGAGGCATCTGGGCAAAATGCCTCTTGGGATGTCTCTTAAGTCACATTCTCAGTATTCTAGCTACCTGACACAGATCTGGCTACGTCATAGCCTAGTGCATCAGATGTAGGTGTTCTGCGTTGTAGAATGAACATCGTGTGTTTATTTTAATAACCTCGTAAGTCCTCTCTTCCTTCGTGCTTCCCACTTTCTAGGATCTCATAGTTGACCAGACAATAGAGAAAGTTTCCTTCTGCGCCCCAGATAGGAACTTCGATAGAGCCTTCTCTTACATATGTCGTGATGGCACCACTCGGCGCTGGATCTGTCACTGCTTCATGGCTGTCAAGGACACGGTGAGTCCGGCAGCGTGTATTCATTACGAGTATTCTCTCTTCCAAGTTGGCTCAGTCAAGCAGTTTCCACTGCATTTTCTTTTCTTCTTTTTAAAAAATATTTATTTATTTATTTAATTCCATTTGTTATCATTTTTTTAATTTAATCAGACAGAGAGGGAGAGAAAGGGAAAGCAAGAAGGCAAGCCGCCAGGTCTTGCACTCGAACTGTGGTTGGCCATGTGGGACTCCAGCACCTTTAACCACCACACCACCTGCTGGCCCCATCCACTACACTTTCAACAAGTACATGTGCTGCGTCTGCTCTTAGAAGTGCCTACACTAGCTTCCTTTTGCTCCTTTTCTTCAGCTATTATAGTTCATACTCTTGGTGTGTGTGACCCTGTGAATTGCCACTCACAGAGCGGCATGACTGGCCGAGACCCAGAGTTGTTAACAGAGAGTTAAAAATGCTCTGGTAATGGAGGTTACTGAACTTTATTTTAAATGTTTTATTATTGAAAGTATTTTCAGGATTCTTAAACGTATTTGTTAACACACTTGGGTAAAAATACTGACATTTGGAAGGGGCTTATCAATTTTTTTTGCAGAGACTACTACAAATGAAAGATCTGATTTGGAATGTATTTTTAATTAAAAAAATAGGAATACTAATTTATGGTAGATTGAAATATGTTAAAAATCATTGCATGGTAGAATTTTTGTTTTTTAAAAATAGAGAATAATTTAAATCTTCATGTAAATTACCCAAAATTCCGGCATGAGAGAAAAGTTTCTTAGATGACAGTGATCTCACTGTAAATAGCATTGAGTATGTAATTTCGAATTTTTGTAAAAGTCTAACCGGAGTCAGGCAGGATAGCCATTAACGAAGGCTGAACTCAATAAAGCTCTTTTCCAGGTTTAACCTGGAAGTGATGGCCATGCACTGAAATTGACCAGAAGTTGATAGCTCTTTGAGACAGTCATATAAACAAATGTTAAAATGTCAGACTCTGAGTCAGACCTGGTTTCCGTTCTGGTTCCTAGTAGCTATGAGATTTGGGGCAAGTTACCTAACAGTCTCTAAATCTTAATATCTATTCTATAAATGGAGATAACCATTGTGGAGAACAAATTAAATAACAATTATAAGTATACTTAGCAGAGGGGGTGGCCCACAGTAAGTACTCCCAAAATTGTAGCTAACATTGCTAAAGATTTTCATCCTTGGTTTGAAACAGGTGCTTTGAAAATGAGTCGAAGTAACTTAACTGCACTTTCATCCTCTGGGTCCCAGACTCTAAGTAAGCTACCAAGACCACCAAGACGATGTATTTTCTATCACTACACTCATAAAATCCAGAGTTCAAGAGTTTCCTGATACTAATTTGAAAACTATTTTATTATCAAATCGTAGCCTCGTAAGCTGTCAGATCTCCTGGGCCAGTGGTTCTACTATATCAGAATCGCTTGGAGAGCTTGTTTTAAAACATAGATTGCTTGACCCTGCTCCTAGAGTTTATCATTCGGTGGGCTGGGGATGGGGCTTGAGAATTTGAAGTTCCAAGATGATGCTGTTGGTCGAGGGCATCGTCACTCTTCAGGACTTCTGCTCTAGGCTTAGGAAAAATTATAAGCTTCCTGACCTATAGCTCTTACAGTAGAGTTGTGTTTAAATGCAAAGGTGTTCTTGCAGCTAGCAGGTGATGTGGAGGTTAAGGCAATAGACTCCCACATGGACTTGCAGTTCAAGTCCTGGATCTGGCGGCTTGCTTCCTCACTGTCCTCCTCTCTCTTTCTCTCTGTCTCTGGTCAAATTTTTTTAAAATAAATAAATAATAATAAATTAATAATAAAAAAATGCAAAAGTGTTCTTAAGAATCTTTAGTATTCTGTCTCATACTTTAACACCTAGCCTTTATATCATTTACTGAGAAGTTAGATGGAAATCACATGGATTCATAAAGTCTATCAGTCTTTAAATAAGTAGTCAAAGGCTTACAGTCATGTAAAATCTTGGGGACAAAAAGCATTTTAAACATTACCTGTCCTTACAATATCTGCTATTGGCATGTGAAGTCCAGTGAAATGACTTGTTCAGAGCAGTCTTTTTGGGGGGAGGTTTTTTACTATAGAGCGCGTGCGTTCACCAGACAGAGAGACAGAGAGATAGAAAGTGAGAAATCACCCCTCAGAGGGGATGGCCACGCCGCAATCCCTTCTCCTCCATTCTCCTCTAGGGATCTTGGGCACGCACGCACAGCGCCTGGTGTGAGTTTAAGCCACTGGGTCCGGGACTTGAACCACGGTCTACTACATGGGAATCCAGCAACATAGCCATTACGCTAACTGCTGGTCCCTTCAGAGCAGTCTTTAGGAGCAGTTGTCTGATGGTGTGAATTTGGAACACCACAGAAGATGCCTTGTTTCCAAAAATCTTTTTCTTATGAATAATGCCAAGAGTTACTGTACCATCTCTAACCTTTTTATTCCACAGTTAGGGTATGGTTTAAATATAAATAACCCTGGAGCCAGCAGGTGATATGGTGGTTCAAATGCTGGACTCCTACATAACCAACCATGGTTCAAGTCCCAGACCTGGTGGCTTGCTTTCTCACTTTCTCTTTTTCTTTCTCTTTGTTTTTCTCTGGTCAGATTTTAAAAACAATAATAAATAAAGTTAAATAAATGTGTGTGTGTGTATGTATACATACATAATACATATATATTTCTCTGGTAAAAATAATCCACTGAATTTGTTAAATTGATTCTGGGTAGGCCAATGTATCTGTAAGACAGTATTTATAAACATTCTCCTCCCCCACACAACTCAGTTTTATCTATTTAATCCCTCTGTAAATAGAGTACAGAGATGAAAACATGCTTTCACTTTGGCCTGTGAGGCAGACTTGGGGGTTAGAGCTAGAAGAAGTCTGATCCCAACACGAAGTAATAGTATCTGAGGTGATGGCATGCTGATTGCCCTGATTTGACCATTATACATCATATCCATGTCTGAAACATCACATGGTAACTCATAAATACTGCCATTATTGACCTGGTGCTCACTGCAGGTTGCGTTCCTACACTGACTGTATACACAGAGGAGGCAGAGTGAGCCCACCCACACGTCTCAGCCCAGGCCCTGTGCCTCGTCTGTACTGTGAATGTGGGCACGTCCTCACACACACACCATTACTATGTGTCAGTTAGACATTTTAAAAAGAAGGTAAGAAGGCTATGGAGAAAACCGAAAAGGACTGCGGGCCATAAAGAGGGAGGACTATTTAGAGGGGGAGCATTCAGAAAGGAGTTGTGTTTATTTATCAGAAGTTTTAAGTTTATACCTTTTTCTCAGACCATGTTAACAATATACTTAAGTTTCTGAAATGTACCTTGCCTTTCCAGTGGTTTCTTAGAAATGCTTGGTAAATAATTCTGATGTTCCCCTAAAGGGCAGCTAGGGCTTGTCAAAGCTTAGAACTTTGAGGAGGGTCTCCTAAGGTGGCGGCCAAGGCGTAACTGAGAGAGGGAGCCTGAGTCAGAGAAGCTGACTCTGGCTGTTCCCAGAATCACAGGTTGCAGTGAGCGCCTTACCCAGGCCTGTAATAGTTCATATCGTTGAAGTATCATGAGCACTATCTGAGATGACTTATTTATTTAAATTAATGTGGCAGGCCAGGAGGTTAAGGCAGCTGGATCCCATATAGCCAACCACATGGTTCTAGTCCCGGATCAGCTGCTTGCAAAACACAACGAGCATATGTACATGTATTACCAAAATCCTGAAAGGAGGGAGAAATAGGGGAGACGGGATTGCAGCATGACCACCCCCTGTGGGAGACGCTTTCTCACTTTCTCTCTCTCTGGCCAACACATTCACCCTCTGGCAAAAATTTAAAAAATAAATTAATGTGGCCTACTGGTATATTAAAACTTAGTTTCAAGCTGGGGTTTACAATACTATGCTTTCTGTGAAAACACACTTATTCTTACGTAATTGTTGATTGTTGATACTGTCACTCTAAAAAAGCTTTCCCAACCTCTGTTTCTACAGGGTGAGAGACTAAGCCATGCAGTAGGCTGTGCTTTTGCAGCCTGTTTAGAGCGTAAGCAGAAGCGGGAGAAGGAATGTGGAGTGACTGCCACTTTTGATGCTAGCCGGACCACTTTTACAAGAGAAGGATCATTCCGGGTCACAACAGCCACTGAACAAGCAGAAAGAGAGGAGGTCATGAAACAAATGCAAGATGCCAAGAAAGGTACAATCTGTTCTACTACCGTGTGTTTGTTTAATGCAGTTTTCTCTACTAGACAAGTTTTCTCACAGTCAGTGAGAGCCTTAGCAATATAGGAAGACCTTCGGACAAAGCTGAGAATCTTACCAAAGAGCCTTCCTTTATAGTGGCTATCTTAATGGTTTCAAAAGTATTTATTCTTTCCATTATAGTTAGCTATCTGGAGAAGTTGAGAATACAGTTGAAGAAACTGAGAGCCTCCTTGTAGTCCCCTGACCCGAACCCCAATCCTGGGACAGATTTTTAATTTTAATGCATTCATCTCTGAGAGGCAAATGTCATCAAGGATCTACTGTTTTTTTTCTTTCTCTTTTTTTTTTTTTTTTTGGTGGTGGGGGGATGTTTTTGTTATAGGGCATGTGCACTCGCCAGAAAGAAAGACAGAGAAAAAGAAAGCAAGAAATCACCTCCCAGTGAGGATAGCTATGGCTCAATCCTTTCTCCTCCAGTCTCCTCTTGGGATCTTGGGCACACACACACACACGCGCCCAGCATGAGTTTAAGCCACCAGGTCCAGGACTCAAACCACAGTCAACTACATGGGAGTCCAGCAATGTAGCCATTACGCCATCTGCTGGTCCCACTTTTTTTTTCTTTTAGGGGGAAGAAGTAAGCAGTTTTCTTTTGCCTCCTCTAGGCAATCTCATGCTCGTAGTTTTTGGGTTGCTATTTTTTTAAATGTTAGTTAATTTTTTAAAGAATTGTTTTATTTAACTTTATTTATTTACTTATTTTAATTTGACCAGAGAGAGAGAGAGAGAGAAAGTGAGAAAGCAAGATGCCAGGTCCAGAATTAAAACCACTGTTGGCCATGCAGGAGTCCAGCGCCCTTAACCACCATGCCACCTCCTGGCCCCAAGTGTATATTAATTTTGTTTATGAGAGAGAGAGTTGTTTTTGGTGTGTGTGTGTGGGGGGGTTGTTTTGTGTGTGTATGTGTGTGACAGGTCTCCACATGTCAGGATCCTGCTATCCCAGCTTCCTAGCTAGCTAGGGCTACAGGCATGCACTGTGGCTGGCCTGTGTCGGTGGGCCAGAAGCTGAACCTATGCCTCTATATGGCCGCAGCCTCCAAGCAGCAGCATCTTAGCAGCATGCAGCACTGCAGCTGGGTCCAAGGTCTACATCTTGAAGGACACAGCACAAATCCGAGTTTGGGGCTGCAAAGGATCCACTGTGATGCTGGCAGACATTTAACAGTGGTGTGGGTTTTATTGTTACTAGGCTGCTGGTTTTAGGTGCTTTAGTCACAAAAAAAACCTAGATTTTTGAGAGGTCAGTTCCTTTTTCCTATAGCCCATTAACTTCACTGTATGATTTTATAGAATATGAGATTTTTTAGGTATGAATGGCATCTTAGCAAAAATGTCTGTACAAGCATTCAAATTACTCAGGAGTCTGTAAAATTGATTTGGGATGCATTTTACAAGTAAATGAAAGGACTCAAGAAAAATGTTTTGCCTTCTTGTGGTTAGCCAGGGTTGAAACCAGCAAGCAGTGCAGTGTTCAATTTAACTAGTAGACAGTAATATAATTTTGGGGGGCCAGCAGATGGCATAATTTATGTTTCTGGACTCCCATGTAGTTGACTGCAGTTCGAATCCTGGACCCAGTGGCTTTTAAAACTCATGCCGGTGTGTATGCATGCATGCCCAAAATCCCAGGATGAGATGGGAGAAGGGACTGTGGTATGGCCATCCCTCCCAAGGGATGATTACTTGCTTTCAGTCTCTCTGAGAAGCACACACCCTATAGCAAAAATCTCTCTTAAAAAAAAAGTATGTATTGGGACCAGCAGTTAGTGTAATGACTATGTTGCTGAATTCCCATGTAGCCGACCGCGGTTCGAGTCTCGGACCCGGTAGCTTAAACTCACGCCGGGCGCGTGTGCGTGTATGCCTAAGATCCTGAGAGAATGGAAGAGAAGGGATTGCAGTGTGGCCATCCCCCCCAGGGGGGTGATTTCTCACTATCTCTCTGTCTCTCTCTGTCTTTCTGGCAATCGCACGTGCCCTATAGCAAAAACCTCTCAAAAAAAATTGTATATATGTATGTGTATATATTTGTATGTATGTATGTACGTACATATATAAACATTTGGGTTTTGGGTTGTTTTTTTTTTTTTTTACTATCCTTTTAATTCTAATCTAGCCACTTTGAATAACATCATTAACTGACTACAGACCCAGATAGCTCTAATTTCAAAGCCCTCCCGCAAAAGCATACATATTTTTACTTAAAATGAAATTACTGATTGTGACTTTTTGTCATATCTATATATTTTTTTTTTGAGAGGTTTTTTCACTATAGGGCACGTGCTCTCGCCAGACAGACAGAAAGAGACAGAGAGACAGAAAGCGAGAAATCACCCCCCCCCCCGGGATGTGACCGCCGCAACCCCTCTTTCCTCCTCTCGGGATCTTGGGCACGCACGCACACGCACCCGGCATGAGTTTTAAGCCACCAGATCCAGAACGCAAACCGCGGTTGACTACGTGGGAGTCCAGCGACATAGCCATTACGCTAACTGCTGGTTCCCTTTTTTTTTTCATATCTTATCAACATTTGCACTGGGATACCAGAGAATAAAAGTCAACATGCTATATTTACTAGAAAGTTGAATCTGTATAGCTGCTGTTTATTTTACCTTAGTGATTTTCAGACTGAAAGTATATTCTTTAATAACACCAAATAATCCTCATCACTTTGCATAGCAGCTGCCAAAGTGATCAAGTCCTGAGATAGCAAAGAATCGTGAGGTGTAGGGTAGAGATTTGCCACAGTCAGGGTGGGTAGGCCACACTGCAGTGTCCTCTCCTTGGGTTTGCATGCACAGACACCCAGAGTGTTCTTCAAGGCATCGAATCCAGGACTTCAGTCACACAGCCAGCTGTGTGGGATCTGGCTGCCTTAACCTCCACACCACCTGCTGGCCCCATAAACTGTCATTCTTTAAAGGACCTCACACAGGAATTCATAGGAACTGGGTTTTAAAAACCTTGTTCAAAGTCTTAACTCGTAAGTCACTGCCTGAGAATAAAAGATCTAATATTTTTATTTTTATAGATATGCCATGTGGCACGTAGTAAGCTATTAAATCGTTTATCAGCCTGCAGAGTAGGAGATCTGAACCTTGCTTTTAACCTGTCTTGTAAGAGATGTTGGACGAGATAGATGCAAGGACCTAGAGCGCTTTTGAGTTCCTCAGGTCTGTGAACTCAGATTATTTGAAGACAATGCTAAGGTTCTCTTTCTCACGATTTTCTTGAGCTGAAGCAGACAAGACAGTTGGTTCATCAGTGGCCCCTGGCAACACTGCCCCATCCCCGTCCTCTCCCACCTCTCCCACTTTGGATTCCACTGCCTCTCTGGAGATGAACAATCCTCATGCCATCCCACGCCGGCACGCGCCTATTGAACAACTTGCTCGCCAAGGCTCTTTCCGAGGATTTCCTGCTCTTAGCCAGAAGATGTCACCCTTTAAACGCCAACTGTCCCTACGCATCAATGAGTTGCCTTCCACTATGCAGAGGAAGACTGATTTCCCCATAAAAAACGCAGGTACCACAGCATCCTCCTGACTTGTCACTCGTGTGGGCTCTAGCACCAGCAATATCAGCACCTCCAGTGGAGACACGAATGCCATTACACTCGTCTCTCCCTGAGACCGGTTGTTGATTATATTTTGTGTATTACCCATTGGGGGAAAGCTTAGGGCTGTGGAGGGGGAGATGAATCATTAATTTTTCTTTAACAAACAGAATTTCTGTTTCTTGGAGTTTCTAGCCTGAGCCACAAGGCCTATGTTTGTCGTGATGTCAGTGTACACCTTTCAGCCAACCTGCTTCTAAGCGTCAAGGGTCTAGAGTTTCCATTCTTATTCTGCCATTTGGGACCCAGCAGGGAATTAATTAAAGAGGCTTTAGAAATACCCATGGTTAAATAACCTTACTATCAGATGTACCAGAAGAAATACATAAGTGCTCATTGTCCTTGTGGCTGGTTGGCTCCTTAGGGAAGAAACTCTAAACTGGCCTCTTGTCTAAATCTCAGATCTGAGGCACATCAGAGACGGTGGGCTTACTCACACCTATCCATTAAGTTTCAGAACTGCTATCCAGGCCTTTGTGTGGCTTCGCCGCCCCCCCAGCCGCTGCAGCTCCATCTTCATCATAAGATCTGGAGCTGGAGTGTTAGATCTGGTCAGCGCTTTTATCAGGCCCTCTTTCACTTCCCTCTGAGACATGCCAAGCCATTACTGTAACAGAACATGAGGAAGCTCTGTCTCAATAGGACACTCTCACTGACGGTAAAAAAAAGCACAGAGAGTTAAGTTCTTTTGATGGAGGAAACGAGGCCTAAGGAACAGTTGAACTAAAAGATTACTGATGGCCTTTTCAGCCCTCAACTCCTATAAAAATCGAAACTCCAGATTTTTCAAGTACTTCGTTTCAGTCTCCCTCTGGAGCAGAGAGGGAACAAAACATATTATTTTCTTTTTCCAGATGAGCAAAGTCACACAAAATTGGCTTCCTCTGTGATGCAGAAAGTCAGTATGAGGAACGAAATCTCAGAGTCCTGACCTCAGCTCAGTTTGTCATGTTGTCATAGTTCATATCATTAGCAATAGACTTCAGAGAAAAATTAGAGTGATGACACTGCCATAGCTTCTTACAGAGACAAGCACTCGGCATCCCCTGGTGCCCTGGACTTTAACTTATATGTGTTGTTTTCTACTAGAATTACTGAGTGGCTCCAGAAATTAATTCTGACATCACAGCCTTGGGAACTGCTTGGAAGGCAAACAAGGTTGTAGATGTTTTCCAGAAAGATCTATTGATAGCTGAACACCACATTCCCAAGAGTGTCACAAAAAGAAGAAATAAATAAATGTGGGGATTTGCAAGGGGAAAAGATGGACCTTAGTAGATGAATCGTTGACATTTTATACTTTCCCATCCATAAAGCCAGTGAGTGACAGCAGTCAGAGAATGTTTTGAAGCTGCTTTTGTAACCTTACCAGGCGGTTAATTGAGACTTTTCTTTCTGATTGTAAGATGCCAGTTTTGTCATGCAGTTAGAGTTCCAGATTATCCCCTTTTTCTGTCTGGAGCTGTTTTCTGTTTGCCTTGCAGTGCCCGAGGTGGAAGGGGAAGCCGAGAGCATCAGCTCCCTGTGCTCACAGATCACCAATGCCTTCAGCACACCCTCTGAGGACCCCTTCTCGTCTGCCCCAATGACCAAACCAGTGACCATGGTGGCACCACAATCTCCCGCCTTCCAAGGTTGGTGCCCTCCTTCCTGCTCAGCTGTGCTCTTTAAAACTAGTACTTTTAGTTTGCTGCTCACTAACTGTAAGTTGGCATCCTGAGCTTTCCAAGCAAGAGCTGGTCAGAACCATTAATGTCTCTGTCCGATGATGTCGTAGATCCACTGATTTCCCAAATGACAGTGTCTTCATGCTTCGTTCCCCTTTCTGTTTCCTAAGATGTCTGTTTGCCATTTTGCATGTATGTGCCCATCTTCCATCCCATTCTGTTAAGAGTTTCTATAGTCCCAGTCCACTGCTTTATTTGCCACTTCCTTGGTACTCCAACCAGCCAGTTTTCCCAGGAGCAGCTGGCATTAGAATTGGTTCTAGCACTATGCTTTCTTTACCTCAGTGGTTCTCAGTTGGGGGCAGTTTTGCCCCCTCAGGGTGAATTTGGCATTCTCTGTCTGGAGACAGGTCAGGGAGAGGATGTTGTTCCCAGCATCTGGGAGGCCAGGGGTGTTGTCAAACACCATTTAATGCACAGGACAGCCCCACAACAAAGAACTCCCCTGTCATAAGAGGCTTATAAATAAAAAAGCACTTTTTTTGGCTTTTTAGTTCATTCATCTTCTATAACAAGCGTCCTGAAATTTGCTTCTGTGGCATTGAAAAATTACTACAAGTTGTTGCTTTCAGAGATACTGAATTAACATTGAGTATTGACTTAGAGGTCAACAAAGAATGTATGTAAATTACAGACATCTAGAATTTGAGTTCCTCTCCTTGCTTCCCCCCCCTTTTTTTTGAGAGAGAGCTCAGAGAAAGTTTTATGCTAGAGATTATACCCTGCTCCTAATTGAAGATGCAACTACATGTCTTTCTTCTGGGCGTTGTGCTCACTCTCATGTACACCAAATCACTTTTCGAGTCATCTAACAGACATTTATAATACCAGTAATAAGAGGCAATCTACTGAGCATTTAGCACAGTGCCTGCCGCGTTATAGCAAGGACTCATGCATTATCTCATTTAATCCCCACAACAATCTTTTGAGGTAGACATTTCAGATGAGAGATTCATTAAGTTGCCCAAATCAAATGACCAGAATTTAAATTCAGGCCTTCTTGAATATAGTGTCCATTACATTCTAGTGACAAGACCCAGGGGGTGTGAAACTGCCTCTTAGGGCCCCGGAGTCTATAGGTTGAGGAAGTCATTTAGACCAGGCCTTGGTAAATAGCAGCAGTACCAGAAGCTTAGTTGCCCAGTTCTAAAGAGGGAATGAGTATACCTTAGGCCAGGGAAAGGCACCATCGTGGAGAGCCAGGGAAAGGAGCAGAAACTGATCTAGGTATTGTGAGTAAAACCAACAAAGATTTAGGGACTTTAAAAAAGTGAGACAAACAGGCAGTAATAGGCACTTTAAGATATTAAGAACATTACCATGGAGGGTAAAATCTTCAAAACAGAAAGACATTAATTTTGTAGCCAATTACAAATTTACTAAACAAATTAAAATATATACCAAGTTTGATTTCTCTGTAATGTAGAGGTGATACCAGCCTTATGGGGTTTTGATGGAATTAAATAAGATGATGCATGTGAAGTACTATGAGCATGGTACCCAGCGCATTATAAGGAATCTTTCTATCTAGCCCATTAGTGTTGGCATAATTCCATCTTTTGGAATAATGTAGAAGAGGGAAGTACTTCGTGTACTTTATTATGCCAGCAGCTAAGCTATATCTTGAATGGTTAGATTTTGTTTTCTGTTCATAAGACAGAGAAGTTCCATTCAACTTATTTTGAATTTTTTTTTAGGCTTCATTGCTTGATGAACATATTTTCCTAGCACAGTCATTTGACTTTATCAGTACGGCCATCTTAATTTCAACCTCTGTATTCATTGCAAGAAGGCATGGTTATCCCAGTATCGACTCTTCTGTCTTAACTGTTCCACCAGTGTTGTACATGGGCCTGGCCGACCCAGCTCCGAGGAGTCGCTTGTACACCCTGCATGAATTTAACTCCATTGATGTTGTCTGCTCCCATTGTAGCTAATGGCACTGACTCAGCCTTCCATATGCTTGCTGCTAAGCCAGCCTATACTGCTCTAGCACCCGTAGCAATGCCTGTGCGTGAAACCAACCCTTGGGCCCATGCCCCTGATGCTGCTAACAAGGAAATTGCAGCCACACTTTCGGGTAAGGTGGCCACAGATGGTGGTGAGGATTCTGGGATCAGATAAGTGACCCTGGTTCTAAAATCAGCCAGCTATTTGTGTGGGAAATAGAAATTCTTTTAGGAAAAGTACAGTTCCTCCTGGAAATAAACCACTATTAAGAAAGGATGATAGGGACCAGCAGTTGGCATAATGGCTATGTTGCTGGACTCACATGTAATCGACCGCTGTTCGAGTCCCAGACTCGGTGGTTTAAATCCATGCCAGTTGCGTGTGTGTGCATGCCTGAAATCCTGAGAGGAGAATGGAGGAGAAGGGAATGCGGTGTGGCCATCCCCCCTGGGGGGTGATTTCTCGCTTTCTGTCTCTCTCTGTCTTCCTGGCAAGCACACGTACCCTGTAGCAAAAACCTCTCCCCCCAAAAAATAAATAAATAAAGGATGATAAAGAAGAACAATATTCGATTAGACTGGTAGTTTTTTAAGGACTGTGGAATCAAATCATTCACAGAGCTGTTATAAAATACAGATTCCTGGGGCCCAGCCCCGGAGAATCTATCACTGGATTTGGCAGTGGGCAGACATGCCTGTAGGAAGGTATGCTTACCTCCTGCAATGATAAGCCTCCAAAAAGCATATTATATTTGCTTTTTTAATACTTTCTAATTTTTCTGTAATGAACATCTATTAATTATAAGACCAAAAAGATTTAAAATAGTAATAAAGGTAATTTACTAGAAAAACATATGTCTAGGAACCACCTCAGGCCCCTCAGCATGTGCAAGATAGTTCCTAAGCTCTGGAGGGGCCATGACAACAGGGGTTTCTGACATCAGCTAGCTGCCTCGGTTTGATGCATTTGAATCTTTTCTGGACAGTTCCTCAGCATGGCTGAGGCAGCTGCATGATCTGACGGTTCTCTTTGTCATGCTGCAAAATCTCCTCAGCAGGTAATAGAAACTTTCTTCCCACCTACCAAGCCACAAAATGTCCCATTCGGGGCACTTGCTCCATAAGTTAAGAGGGTTCAAATAACCAAAGTTTAAGGGGAGGAAAGAGGCCTCTAACTGATGCTTTTGTCTCTCTTCTTGGTTCCAGGGACCGAGTGGGGCCAATCTTCTGGTGCTGCCTCTCCAGGTCTCTTCCAGGCTGGTCACAGACGCACTCCCTCTGAGGCCGACCGCTGGTTAGAAGAGGTGTCTAAGAGCGTCCGGGCTCAGCAGCCCCAAGCCTCAGCTGCCCCTCTGCAGCCAGTCCTCCAGCCGCCTCCACCCACTGCCATCTCCCAGCCAGCACCGCCTTTCCAAGGGAATGCATTCCTCACCTCTCAGCCCGTGCCAGTGGGTGTGGTCCCACCCCTGCAGCCAGCCTTCATCCCTGCCCAGTCCTATCCTGTGGCCAACGGGATGCCCTATCCAGCCCCTAATGTGCCTGTGGTGGGCATCACTCCCTCCCAGATGGTGGCCAACGTGTTTGGCACAGCAGGCCATCCTCAAGCTGCCCAACCCCATCAATCCCCCAGCCTGGTCAAGCAGCAGACAGTCCCTCAGTATGAGACAAGCAGCGCTACCGCCAGCCCCTTCTTTAAGCCTCCTGCTCAGCACCTCAATGGTTCTGCAGCTTTCAATGGTGTAGATGATGGCAGGTTGGCCTCGGGAGACAAGCACACAGAGGTTCCTGCAGGCACCTGCCCGGTGGATCCTTTTGAAGCCCAGTGGGCTGCATTAGAAAGCAAGTCCAAGCAGCGCACTAATCCCTCTCCTACCAACCCTTTCTCCAGCGACTTACAGAAGACATTTGAAATTGAACTTTAAGCAGTGGCTATGGCTTTTGTTTTTTTTCCATACTTAGGCAAGGGCCGGGGGGTGGGGGGTCAAAGGAGGAAAGAAGACTTTGTCTTTCGATCTGTTTTCTCTAATCCCAAAGGTCCCAAGGAACAAGTCCAGGCACAGAGCACAGTGAGGGGTGATTCTGAATGAGGTGGGGGAGACCATTCCTAGAGAAAGCCGTCTTGCATTTAAGCTACGAAGTCCAGATAGATGTTGCCCTCTGTCTCTCTTCCCCTTACTCCCTTACAAACCTCTGGCAACAGAGAGGCAGAGCTACCCAAACAGGAAATCTATTCAAGCACATTTACTGGAATATAAAACACAATGGGAAGCAAACCAATCTCCCCTTGGTTTCCAGGCCATGTACCTGCCTCCTCTCAGCGCTGGCCTGTCT